ATAATGGCTATTGCAGGTGTATTTTTTTTGTTTCGTATGTATCCTTTTCAATAATAACGATAAAAAAAACCTATTCTTACTGTTGTAAAGTCACTATTTCTTTTAGTGTTATTACGCTACTTTCGCGTCTTTTGCCTCAACAGTTTTATTTGTATTTCGTGTAAACATAATATTGTTGTCATATTTGCTATTGAGCAACCTTTTAAACAGATTTTACGTATACAATTTGTTCTATTTTTATGTTTTAAACGTTAGTTATTAACGATTCGGACCGCTGTTTGTTATTTGCTTTTCGTTACTATTGCGCATTATTCAGCGTACTCGTGTGTAACCCTTATAAATATTGTAGTTTTCGGATTTTACCAGTCGTTTTCGCATGGGAACCCGTCAAGCCGGGATAGAACATTAACGGCGAACCTTTTCTTTGGTTACTCGCGATAAAGTTTATCGGTTCATTGGCCTGCAGGAAGCCGAAATGATTGGTCGTTTAATCTCGGACACCGCCTGCTTATAATACGTATACATCATTTAGCCGCGTTGATGAGTAGAAACACCGGTAAACGAATGGTCGCGTAAACGTTATAAAATAATAAGTCTTTTTTTTGAACCGCAGCGCTTGTTACATTATTTATGTACACCGAGTGAATCCGCGAGTTTCGTCTGCGTTTCGTTGCCTCTACAAACAAGTGCGGGTGCAGATCCGGCCGTCGGAGGCATTTTCGTTATTGCCGTCGCCACACTACCCATCATACCCATATATATATATAGGTACGTCTATAATGCGGTAAATATTATATTTTATTCATTTTCGAACGACGGGACGTTTGAGCGTTCGGCGTGCGTAAAACACACGGACGTATACGAGCAGGAAATGCAAATAAAAACAGGCCGCGAATTTTGTAATACAGCCGTAAGTCGGTACATACGTATGCAATAATATTACAGTGTATTATGCGTTTTGAACCGGGTACTTTATAATATTATATTATGTAGAAACATTATTGCATTGAGGCGACGCCAACGAAGGGTGGAATTTTTATTTATAAATGTATACGTATATACATATTTTTTTTAATATTCTAATTCGATTAGTCGAATAACATTTTTTTTTCTCCTTACGGTGTACCCAGCGGCTGTTTTTGTACACCCATTGTAATGGTTATCAGCGCAGTAAACGCCCAAGCGGAAAATGTATTGTTACCTACCTGTATAGGTATATATCGGCGGTTGACAATACAATAGCTATAGGTGTATAATACTTTTACGGTATGCCGTTTCGAGTTATATTATTATTATTATTATCATTATTATTATAGGTAGTTATATAGGTATCGGTGATAAATGGAAACACGGATTCATTACTTAATTTTATGTCTTCAGATAAGAAACGTTTATAAATATATATCAGTATACTTTTGTTTTAGTACCTGAGCAATTACTTAATATTTTCAGAAATGGTATAGGTATTTTGTTTGACGAACGTTATAATAAAGTATATCTATATATATTAGTGTTATTATAGTACCTAATAGCAATAATGAATGATTGATGAAAACGTGTAAAATATGATTCGAAAAATAATCATATTAAAAAAAGAAAAACACAGTCTTTGAATGACTTATGAATACTTAAGTAGGCTGCGGCAGTTCGCAAATCGTATATTTTATAATCAACCAACTATATATATTATAATTTATATAGATAGTATTTTTTTTTTTGCTGAGTACCTACTCAATGCAAACAAGTTAAATCTCTAGTCGTTATCTCTAAGTATACGCACCAATAATGAAGTATTTTTTTGAATAATGTTTATTTTTCTAGCGGTTATCAGTTTTATAATATAGTAAATGTACACTTGGTCATAAATATTGTGGTGTAATTATATACATTTGTATACTTACTAGATAAGTGCCAAGTTTACTTATTCACAGAAATTCAAATTATCTAAGTCAGCAGTTCTCAACCTTTCCATAACCGCGTACCGTTTACGCTTTTTGATATTTTTCACGTACCATTTGACAGCTTTTTTTTTAGTTATCACAAAATAAAAAATAGAACGTGTACGTTAGTAGCTTTTTATTATTAAATTTACACAATTATAAGCATTTAACACACAAAAGTAAAAGTAAATGTGTATACAGTTATTATTTTCCAAGTTACTGGACCACAAACTTTGGGGGTACTAAAATTATGGATACATCAAAGACCCGTAGGGTCTGTGACCCCACAATTTCCTTTACAAGTCTTTTACAATAAGCAACTACACATTTTATTTACAATTTTGTTTGCACAAATTTATCGTGACTATTTTAATATTGTTTTTCATGTTTTTCAAGTTGCCCAAACACGTTACAATAATTTAAATTCGCTCGCCCAAACACGGAAAATCGCCCGAAAGCAATGCAAAATTTTTACAAATTTGCCCAAACGCAAACCGCTCAAGGACGTGCCTAAATTATAGGAATTTCAGTTCGGAAGTGGAGGAAGAAGGGTAAATTACGGAAAAATAGTGAAAGTAATGTATCGGTACCGTACTTTCAAGTATAGCATAGCGTGTTATTGGAGACGATAAATTACGTGCGGTGATACAGTTTTCGACGTTTTAAAATAAACAGTGACAAATAGGAATTTCGGGATACAATATAAGGGCGAGTAGTGCGTGAAAAATAACCGAACAATTATCGTACACATAAATAAATCGTATCTCGGATGGCAGTGGTCACAACGGTCCGTAGGGGCTGCAACGAAGTGCCATATATAGAAAAAAATAAAGACGGAATCGGAGCGGCTTTATTATGACCACAGTGACGCGTGTATGGAGATCGACGACGATGGCTACATTTATTATAATAAAATGCACAATAACGATGGAGAAACTCGAAAAGGTCGTTTGGTCGGACAGAATTAAAAAAGACCCGGGTAAATTTCGTCGACGGCCGAAAATGTCGGGAAAATCGTCACGAGTCACGCGTTACCTCGAATGAGTCTGAAAAAAAAACCCGAAACGCCGGCCGTTGCCCTCGACCCGAAAAATACTGCGGAGCGGTTTACCGCTACGGCTGTGTCGTACGACACGAATAGAGGCGCAGCAGATATGTTTTTTTTATTATTAATTTGTTTTTTTTTTTTCAGTATTTTATTCGTACGCTCAAAAAAGTCATTATTATTATTTGGTCCGAGACTCCTTTATAACGATATATTATATTATAATATTATATCGGTGAATTTTTTCGCTATTGTATATTATCGCGCGGTTATTTTTCGGAGCCCGCGTAACTCTACAACACTACTTTAGTAATAATAATAATATTATTATTATTACAGACTGCGGTATTACACGTCCTATTGTCTATAATATCGTTGCACCGGAATGTTATTGATGCCCGCCGGGTGCATAATAATATACTTTATACGCGTTTTGTTACAGTATACCGTCTCCCCTACTTTCCCTCCCTTGTTCGGGCGTTCAATTCTTTACTCGTGCGCACCGTATCGCGTTTGACGTCTTACGATGTTTTTTCCACGCTTTTTCGAGACGACAATCACTTGCATTTTTAAAATTTTTTTTTTTATTAAGACGCGTAACCCCGCATAGATTATTTTGTTAAGACGACGTTTTTATTCGCACGCGCTGTCTCGGTGTGCGATATAGCAAAATCTACCTTACGTAGGCTGCGTAGAACTCGCTTAATTTTTTGTTTTATAGTTAAAACGCCTATAATTATAAAATTAAAAAAAGAAGTACGAGACGATTACGTTTCTTTTTTTAAAATTAATTTATGAAAACGTTACAGTTATTTGAAAACGATGACTTTGTCTTCGTTTCTAATTGACTTATTGTACATTAAATTCGAAACATTATATGGAATAAAGTATAATATATAACACATCAAATTCCCATGTATATCCTATCTTCTCAACTTCCCACCTACAACAGTGTCTGCACCCGTCCCATTATTCTAGGACACCTTTTTAAAACATTGCACGCGTAATCGAATTAATTAAAAAACCCTAACAAACACAATAATATGATAATTTAAAGTTATACATTATGAGGTTTAGATTTATTTATTTTTTTTTTAATATTTTAATCAACGTGTATGAATTTTAACGTGGTGATGCAACTAATACTATATGGCTTTTTAATATGTATAGGGTAAGGGGCGTTGTTTAATTATTATTATTATTTAAATTTTAAAACATTATATATGCGTATAATATTATATCTAATGCATAATAACACTGTAGCAGTAGGTATATACACTGTATACAGTGTAAATATTCATTAATTAGTTTTAAATTTATACTGTATACAATTTCTGTTTTAAAAATTAATTAAGTATTGAGGGGATGGGGTAGGGAGAAACTGCAGATTTCGAGGTGACATGGTAATTCCTGTTAATGAATTGTCGGTGTTTTTGATTTTGTTTTTTTTTGTTTTTACATTGATTAAAATATATTTTTTTAAAAAAATGTGAAAAGTGGTTCATTATCAAAAAAAAAAAAAATAAATAAATAAATAAACGATATTTCTTTTGATTCTCAGGTACCTAAGATTTAGAGTATTTTTTTTTTTATATAGAATAAATTCAAATATGAAAAACTTAATAACATTTCGCGTTTTATACGGAACGATATTATAGTTCGGACGTTTTAACCGGAAATTATAATAGATATTTCATTATCATTAAACTGGTGCGAAAATCAATAAAACAAAATCAAGGTTATCAATAATCAAATAAACCGTAAATCAAAAATTCGAACTTCCACATTGTTTTATTTTTATTTCAATATTATTATAATGCATTGTGTACGTATTATCTTTTATCGATAAGATTGTTGTTATTTTTAATATTTGAATAATAACAGGTATTTTAGTACAAGGACAAACGACGAAAATCTTAATTAAAAAAAAAAAAAATTACGTTATTCGTATTGGGGTCTCCAAATAAACACGGAAACTTTCAATGAGCGGCTGAATGTAGATAATAGAACATGTGATGAACAATTACGAAATAGCTGTCTCGATTTCACATAAGGAATGGGGCAATGCTGTTGGAGTACTCCAGCAACATGATGAAGACGAGGTTAATAATGCAAAGGAACGAATACCAGTTACCAGAAATGAAGTACTCGACGTGATTAATACACTGATAAGCACTGTAGAAGAGCACGGCACAGGCCCAGACTACTTTGCTATATTGAACAACTTGGAACACACCGGATTTATACCAAAAAAAAAAAAAAAAAAAAAAAAACAACAGGTGCGCATCACCGACTTTCTTGAAAGAACTCAAAACGTACGTATGTATAATATGCATACGTAAAATTATTAATAATTGTGTAATTATTTGTCCGTTATTTTTTACCAGTTTTTCGAGCCGCCGTTTATGATGGAGATCAAACGGACTCTCGGGCGAATGTGATCACCGTATATAAATAGCGACCACTGTATTATATGCATCATATTATGCGCGTTTGACGTAGAAATACTGTTAACGGATATTTACATACGTATTTACTCGCGTGGTATGCTGGCGAGTATAATACAACTCGGACGGGTAGATAACCGGAGATAACCGGAGAACGATATTATACGACGGCGCGTACTTTCGGGGCCGATCGGATCGCCGCCGCCGCCACGGAGATCGGGGAACAATATTCCTGTGGGAAGTTCGGACGACCAGACTTCGCACTTTCGCCGTATTCTCGTTATTATTATTATTATCGCCGTCGTCGTCGTACCTCTACTCTCTCCCCGTTCGCGTGCCGTACGACGGCTAAAATTCGGACCTGAAATCGCAACTTTTAATCGCGACAATGCCGCCGCGCGCCGGTCCGACCCGAGGGCCGAGAATCACCCGCGTAAAGTTACTTCTCCTCCGCCGTATTATTATTATTATCATTATAATATAATATAGAGGGTCTTTGACGTATATGTATATATATATATACGGCACGGTATTAATATTGTCACATTCTCGCGTTATACGGAGACGGGCTGTTAGGGTTTGCATACAGGGTGTCCCGCGGACATCCGACAAATTCAACTATGACTTTCGTTCACGTCGATATATATATATATATGTATATGTATACATTTTTTTTTTTACATCGTTATAATTCACTATCGGAGCCTATCGTTACGGTTCTTCTAATAATTTATACTATTTTTCAGAACTAAAAATACTAATTTTAAACGTTAAAAGATACGTTGTTACCGATTTATTTCGCAACTGATGACGGACGAATCGTTAATGTTCTACAATTTTTGATTTAATCGTGCAAATTTATTTTCAGCTTTATATAAAAAATCGAAAAAAAGACGTATACACTATTATAATACGCGCAAACTATTAAAATAATATCGCGATGATATGTAGTATTCATTACAGACGAGAGTTATTGCGGCGTTTTTCAGATCTCCGTGGGACACCCTGTATTCCGTGTTGTATAATAATATATTATTATGTAACGCGGAGAGGGTTTTGTTTTACAGATTTCGTTTGGCGACGCCGCGTTCTCTCTTGCGGGTTGCGTCGCGCCGAGCGTCCTTGCGGCTGCGAGCGCTGCAGTGTGCCCTCTGCAGACGCGTGTAAGATTACACAGGCATATTTTAATCAAACTTCGAGACCTCGGGTATAGTCGCGATGGTGCACACCCTCGTATTACCGCTATAAATATCATAATATTATAATACGCGCCTGTGTAATACAGTCCGTCGACGAAACATGCCGATAGGATAGAGCAGCCGCAAAAGCATTTACACGAGCATTTTCAAAAGGCAACGAGCCCGTCGGCGGGTGTTTGCGCGACAGCTATTTTATACATTAAATATCTATATAAACAGTTTAAAATTCAATTACGTATATTATATTATAAACCCTGTATAAAATTTGGAAACAAACGCGAACGTAATTTTAAATTATTTCACGCGTGAAATACATTGTTTTATGATCGCGGTTAACCACTTATAGCGTTTAAACAAAAAAAAAAAAAAAAAGAGCCCCTAAAGAGCTCGGAAAAAAACTATGAAAAAATAGTCTAAGACGGACATACTTTGCACTTGGATGGGCCATTGTTTTAGGTGAGAAGTTTAATTGTATTTGGATAACCGTTTAACCAATTAACCGTTGCAATCGAACAACGATTTTGAGCGGGTTTCTGTTAATAGTGTTGCTTTGTCAACAATGTTTTTATCATATTACGGTAATATAATTATTTTACTGTGATTTAATTGCATATGCATTAAATATTTTCTTAAATAATATTTGTTTATATCATACTTATTTTCCCATTTTTTCCCGGTTTTTACAATGGTATTCCCATTTATTGAGAAAAGTCTTGAGAAAATCAACCAAATTACTTCCTTGTCAGTAACATTACTGTAAATCGGGACAACATTGCTGGTAAAAAAGTTGGTCACAGGAAAAAAAGGATGTAATATTTTCATCCGTGAAACGGTATGAGGATATTTTTATTAATCTCCCGCGATCTGTTCTCCTTTCGACCAATTACATACTTCCCTGCTTGACAAAATCGTTTATCGCTACCTGCAGTTACACAATTGGTATTTATATACGAATATTGTTGTATACGTCAATTATTATATGGCGTTAAATAAACCTCTTAACATTTTTCCCGTATGTATGTACCTACTAGATAACAGTTGTCTTAACTGACCTATTAACTCGAGTTAAACACCGCAAACAGTTAGAATATGCATGTATAATATTATGTACCGCGTATTGAAAGTCAAAAAGAACAAAAAAAAAAAATAATATGTATAAAATTCAAATAAAAATAATAATTATACGAAAAACCGTGTAAAGGGCTATTAGAGCTTATTTGAATTTTCTTCGTGTGGAATAATAAATTCATATGCATATATTACTATTACGGGCAATTAAACCGGACTCTTCTTTTCATTTTTTTTTTTTTTTTTTTAATATACCAATTTTAACGTCAACTAATTGCGAATTTGACATGTTTAACTGTGTTATTTAACATATATTATACTATATACGACTTTTCAAGGTTTATGTGTTTTTTTTTTTCAAAAACCGTTTGTCCCTCCATAAAACAAACGATTGTATACGACGGTTATTAAAAAAATGACGGCTGACATTATTTCGAAAAAAAAAAAAACAATACGCGCATTACTATTTATGGAAATATTACCTGCCACGACAAGGTTATATAGAAACTCGTGTGTACGAGGCGACTGTGGCATATAGCGATGATGTGATTTACCTATAAATTCTCCGATTGAATAAAACAGAATCGCTCGTGATGCCCGTAATATAATATTTTTAAAAATCATATAATATTTCAACGAGAGTGCTGAGACTAATTCCCTAAGATTTTGTGTTTTTATTTATGGTTCGGTGACCAAATTTATTTCTTTTTAAATCTAAAACACATACCCGTGTTGTGAAACTCCTGGATCAATTCAAAAATAAATTGTAAAGAAGACAACTGTAATATATGATGCTTAATTTATCGATAGATTATTTGCGAATTAGTAAAATAACGGAAACTGCATTTTTTTACAATTTTTCCGGTAGTGTTTCAAAACGTATGATATTTGGACTTTAAAATAATATCACAAAAGCGAGTATTTCTAACTATACAACGAGCCTTTGACGTATAATCGGCGAAATTTCTATTTATTCTATGTGTCTAATAATAGTGGCGTACTAATGGGGGAGGGGGAAGGATTCGTGATAAACCTCCCCCCCCCGGTACATTGTCGCGTACAGATTTTAACCAGGGTTTTACTTAAATGTCTGAATTCCCGACGATAGATAGTTGAAAGTACGCCACTGAGTTGTGCTGCCGTATGTAGCGTAATAATAACATAAAATCATAAAACCCCTCGGGGTATCGGCCGTCCAGAAAATATGTCTAGTCGTGGCTCGTAGTGAATAGAGTCCATAATGAAAAAAAAATAATAAATGCCTAAATGCGCCTAGAACGAAAACTAAAAAGACGAATTTTCGGAATACATTTTAACGATCCCTTTATTCCCTTGTTTTAATTTGCATTATTGTTATTATTATATTATCATACAAATATAATACTAACTCTATGCACAGTCTTCTCGACCAACTTTTTTAATTTAATGAACCGTTTGTACCTTTGTTATAATTTTCAATATTATTGTACGAATAATAATCATCGTAAATATTTTCGACGAAAATTACGTTGACGAGAGAACGAAGAAATTATTGTAAATAGCTATTTGCGTACTTCAAATGCTGAGTCATGCTTGGGATCCATCTAACAAGTCCCGAAATGAAATTTGATTGTGGTTTCCCAGCAATAAATAACAATATAAATCGTTAAATAAGATTTAATTTGTCTAGCCGCAGGTATATATCGAAATGTTTCTCATCTCAAAGTTCCGACTGTTTAAGTTAATTATAATTTAAACGTCTTTTTTCCCCTTTCATCGCTCTCGTGTTAATTATTATTTACACCAAACTTGTTTTACGCCCGACTATTTTTCATATTTTTAAAATAATAAATATTAATACTTTAATTAATAACGTATTAATTAATTTATTATATCGTTTAAAATAAAAAACAAAAAAAAAAAAATGATAATGGAGAAGTGGAAGCTAATTTATTTCTGAATGTACGCGGCTAATCACTTAATCTGCCCCTAGAATAAAAATATATACGAATATATATGAAACGGTTCGTTTACAATATAAAAGTCGTAACTAGACACACCGAATAAGTTGTTAACTGCAATTTGTGTATCATACTGCTCAAACGAATTAAAAAAAAAAAAATTATTAAACGTACAGAGATTTAATGAACTATAAAAATAGAGAAAATTATATTTTCTTTGAACGCAAATACAGGCATTATAATATTTACAATGATAAATCAAAAAAAAAAATTTTAAATTAAAATTCTCAAATAGCGTTACATTTTTTTGTTTTTAATTAAAACTATATAAAAAAAAGTCCCATAATTGCGTTAAAACGTAAAGTTCTCTAGTGTTTATATTATTATTATTATTATTTTTTAATTAATTTCATATAATTAAGTGACGCAAAAAAATTTTAAATCACGCGAGTAAATGTTATTCGCGTAAAAGTAAACTTTTCATGGTACACAAATTATTATTAATATTTTGTGCGTTTACGCCGCGTACGAAAAATGTAATACGATTCGCGAATCGGGAGAAAAAAATCAATGAAGACGATAAGAAGGGAGAAAGAAATAGTTACACGGAAATATTCATTCGTAAAATTTACAGTTAGAGAATAACTTACATAATTTATTGTTTTCATCGTTTAATGTATTAATTATTAATAATCTGTTCTATTTATTTGAGTGTTGTACGTATTAATTTTTTAGATTCTGAGTTAAGTAAAGCATGTATTGGTTTCACAAAGATGTTTATTTTATTTTATTTTTTTATGTGAA